GCAACGCCAATAATAATTACTATAATTATTCATAGATACACATATTGAGTCTCCTCCTTAGGTTCTCAAACTAAACTACATCAAGAACTTTTGTAAAGATATCAACAAGTTGATTCTCAATGCTAACATGCTCAAGAGTTATGACCTTGTCCTCCACGAGTTCTTTATTGAAGTGGTGCCTGATGTCAATGTGCTTGGCCCTACTATGATGAATAGGATTTTTGGAAATATTAATAGCACTAAAATTGTCATAAAATAATGTCATGACATCTTGTGTGACATTATACTCAGACAACATTTGCTTCATCTACACCAGTTGAGAGCAACTGCTTCCTACTGCTATGTACTCAGCTTCAGCAGTAGACAAAGAAACACAATTATGTTTCTTGCTGAACTATGAAATCAAATTATTTCCCATAAAGAAACATCCTCCAGAGGTACTCTTCCTATCATCAGCACTTCTAGCACAATCAGCATCACAAAATTCCACCAACAAGGAATTTGTATCATGGGAATACAACATACCATAGTCACATGTACCATTCACATACTTCAGAATTCTTTTCACTTGGTTGATGTGACTTACCTTAGGTTCTGCTTGATACCTTGTGCATACTCCAACAACAAAAATTATGTATGGTCTGCTAGCAGTAAGATATAGAAGGCTACCAATCATGATTCTATACAAAATATGATCAACACTAACTCCTTTTTAATCTTTAGATAACTTCAAGTGTGTAGAAGCAGGAGTTCTCTTATGGTTGGCATTTCCCAATCCAAATTTCTTCACAATATTCCTTTCATATTTGCTTTGACAGAGAAAAATGGAGTCTTTCATGTATTTGACTTGCAATCTAAGAAAGTAAGTCAGTTCACCAACCAAACTCATCTCAAACTCACATTGCATCTTCCTGATAAAATGTTGGACCATTTCATCTGACATTCCTCTAAAAACAATGTCATCCACATAAATCTGAGCTATCAACAATTTTCTAGCTTCATCTTTGACAAAGAGTGTCTTCTCAATTCCACCCTTTCTATATCCATGATTGACTAGAAATTCAGCCAACCTTTCATACCAAGCTCATGGAGCTTATTTTAAGCCATATAGGGCCTTCTTTAGTTTGAAAACACGATCTCAAAAAGAAGGATCAATAAACCCTTTTGGTTGTTCAACATAGACTTTTTCACTCACGTACCCATTTAGAAAGGCACTATTTTGACATCCATTTGATATAGCTTGAACCTTAAATGACAAGTTACTCCAAGAAACTATTAGATAGACTCCAAACAAGCCACATGAGAAAATGTTTCATCAAAGTCTACTCCTTCAATTCCAGTGTATCCTTGTGCGACAAGTTTGGCTTTATTTCTGGTAACACAACCTTGTTCATCCATCTTGTTCTTGTACACCCATTTTGTACCAATAAAATTTATCCCATCAGGTCTTCGCACCAAGTTCCATACTCCATTCCTCTTGAATTCACCCAGTTCATCTTGCATAGCATTTATCCAGAACTCATCGGTCAAGGCGTCCTTCATAATCTTTGGTTCAAACTTGGATACAAAGCACGCATTTGACACAGTTTCTCTTGATCTAGTGACTACTCCTTGTCTGGGATTTCCTATTATAAGTTCCTTATGATGATCCTTTTGAATTCCGAGTGATGGCCCTTTGTCAGCTACCTGAGGTTCTTCAACTTCATAATTTTCACTTGAGCCTGCAACATATGTGTTGGATGTTAAGACATTTTCTTTAGGAACCTCATCATCTATAGGAATAATTATCTCAACTTCTTCCGGGACATCATATTCTCTAGTGTAGTCATCAATAATAACATTTGAAGACTCCATCGTCACATTGGATCTAGAGTTGAATACTCTATATGCTTTACTGTTTGTAGAGTATCCTAGAAAAATTCCTTCATCACTTTTAGCATCCAACTTCCTTCTTGGCTCACGGTCTTCTAGAATATAACACTTACTTCCAAAGACATGGAAATATTTGACAAATGACTTTCTTCCTCTCCACAATTCATACAGAGTAGTAGAGGTTCCAATTTTGATATTCACTCTATTATGAATATAGCAAGCAGTGTTCATGGCTTCAGCCCAAAAGTAAATGGGTAATTTCTTGGCACAAAGCATAACTCTGGCATATTCTTGAATAATATTGTTCTTCCGTTCAACCACACCATTTTATTGAGGAGTGATGGGTGAAGAAAACTCATGACTAATCCCTTCAGATGCATAAAATTCCTCAAACTCGTTGTTCTCAAATTCCTTCCCGTGGTCACTTCTAATTCTGACAACACCATAATCCTTTTCTCTTTGAATCTTACGGCGTGATTCTTTGAAGACTTCAAACACTTCAGATTTCTCTTTGATGAACTTCACCTAAGTGAATCTTGAGTAGTCATCAACAATAACATAGGCATACATCTTTCCCCTAAGACTTTCAACCTGCATAGGTCACATCAAGTCCATGTGAAGTAGCTCTAGAACTCATGAGGTAGAAAGATGTTAGATCTTATTATGGGAAATCTTTGTCTGCTTCCCAATTTGACATTCACCATAAATTCTCCATTCATCAATATTTAGCTTGGGAATATCTTTAATAGCTTCTTTTGACATGATCTTCTTCATGCCTTTCAGATATAAATGACCAAGCTTTTGATGCCATAGGTTGACTTTATTGTTTTTTGACATTAAGCATGTTGAGAGACATTTTGTTCCTGGAGAGCTCCAAAGGTAGCAGTTGTCTTTTGATCTGGTTCCCTTCATAACCACTTCATTCTTATCATTTTTAACCATGATCTCAGATTGAGTAAAGTTAACTTTGAGACCTTGTTCACATAGTTGACTCATACTTATTAGATTTGCAGTCAGCCCTTTTACAAATAACACATTATCAAGAATAGGTTGTCCTGCATAGTCCACCTTTCCAACACCTTTGATTTCAATATTTGACCCCACCAAAAGTGACATAGCTAGTAGCACGTGGTTTAATGTCCACTAGGAATTTCTTAAAACCAGTCATGTGTCTAGAATATCCACTATCAAAATAGCAATCCTCTCTAATTGAGGCTTTGAGAGAAGTGTAAGATATGAGTCCATACGAAACATGGTGAGGAGCTCCTCTTGACTTTACCTCAGTATTAACATATTTTCTTCTTTAAGGAGTAATATGGTTGGAATAGCCATACTATTTGTAACAAGAGAGTTTTAAATGGCCAAACAACCCACAATAATGACATCCCCATGGTTGATACATGAGACTATAATACCTTCTCTGATGTCTAGGATGATGTTGGGACATGTGACTTGATATCTTCTGCATTTGTTTCATCTTTTGAGGAACAAACTCCATTATTTGCATGTTGTTCTTCACAACTTGGTTATTATAACTAAGACCATTCACATTTCCAACATTCTTCCTAGTTTGAAGAATCTCATCCAACACAGTAGAGCCATTATTATTACAGTTTCCAAGTTTTGATTTTTGCAATATTACCTCATCTTTAAGATTAGCAATGACAGATGGATGTTATTCTTTCTCAGCCTCCAGTTGAGCAATAAGTATTTTTTGCTCTAATACTTTCTAACACATTTTTTCATCCTTGAGGCACATCTTTGTGAACCCAGAAGCCAATTCACGAATGGTGAGTTCTCCAACATATGATTATTTATCAGACCAACAAGTTTCTTCATTAGAATCACAGATTCTAGTCAAGGCAGTCACTTGCTTGGCTGATTCTTCTTCACGATCACTTTCAGATTCTCCCTCTGACCATGATACAGCTAAGCCCTTCCTTTGCTTTTTGAGGTAGGTGGCACATTCAGTTCTTATGTGTCCATATCCCTCACATTCATGGCACTGGACATCTTTCCCTTGGCTTGGCTTCTCTTCAAATCTTGACTTCCTTCCAAGGTCTTGGTTTTTGTTGATATCGAATGACATGCTCTTAGCTTTTAACCTAGACTTCCTCAGCACCCTGTTAAATTGTCTTCCCAATAGCACAAGGTCCTCAAATACTCCTTCTAAGGTAAGATTTCCTCTATCCTATGAGTCATCATTACTAGAAGAAAAATATATACTCTTCTTCTTTCACTACTAAAAAAAAGACATTTGAGAAAAGGTTTTTACATCGGGTATCAAAATATATGATGTAAAAAATACAATTAACAAACTTTTTACATCAGGTATTTATTTGCAATGATATAAAAAATATGAAAAAATATATATTTCCCTACCTATTACATTGGGCAAACGCATCCACCGATGTAAAAAGTTTTCAGAAAAAAATACGGTGGCATTTTTGTAAATAAGAAACAAGGTGGTAGAAATATTAATAAAAAACATGCAACATATTACATCGGTTGACTAAACACCGATATAACATCTTCACAACAGATATTAATATAAAAAATAAATTAAAGAATAAATTAATTTTTTTGCAACTTATTACATCGGGTATTACAATGCACCGATGTAATAGGTGCATTGTAAAAAAAAGTCAAAAAAAAGCTTGCCAACCCTTACATCGGGTATTACATGCACCGATGTAATAGGTGCATTGTAAAAATAAAAAAAAAACTTGCCAACCCTTACATCGGGTATTACAATGCACCGATGTAATAGCTTGCCAACCCTTACATCGGGTATTACAATGCACCGATGTAATAGGTGCCAAACCCTTATTTCCCAAACAGTAGAAAAATTACAACTCCATCATTATTCTTCCACCACTCCATCTCGAAAAAGCCAACTAGACACACCGGCATACCAGCTAAAAGCTGTATCTAAAGCAAATCACCAAACCCATCTCTTATCTCTCACCTTACTCCATCATCTTCCAAACCAATTTCTCCTTTTCATAAACCCTATTCCCAATCTTCTAAACTTCAACTTCAATTTCCCCACTTCCCATTCCTAAAAGAAAAACCATAATATTATCATTATTATCCAAAACTCAAAACTGGAGTTCCTTCCCTGAGAAATGCCAAGTGTGGCTGTAAAACTCTACAGCGTATTCTTCAAGTTCCTCTTGAAGCACCATTTACAAAACCAGATTCAAGCCCAACCGGACAATAACTCCAACTCGTTTGGTATCACTTCACGACCCTAAGAATCCGTCGCTAACTCTAACCCTTCTTTTACCGACGGCGTCGCCACCAAGGATATCCACATCGATCCTTTCACTTCTCTCTCTATCCAAATCTTTCTTCCTCACTCCGCTCTTTCTCCTCCCGAGCCTCATTCCAAACCTAACTCCAAACCTAAACAACAAGCTCCCGAACCTGGATCTGTACGGAGAAGTAGCTATGGTCCTCCGTTCAGAGAAGAGCAGCTCCGAGGGAGGAATAGTAACGCAGTTGAGGGTTTGAATTTAATGGGCGCTGGTGTTGAAACCGGTGCCGGTTTGTACCGTGGTTACTCGCCAGCGTTGGATAATCGACGGAGGAAATTACCGGTGATGTTGCAGTTTCATGGTGGGGGGTGGGTTAGTGGTAGTAATGATTCGGTGGCGAACAATTTGTTTTGTCGGTGGATCGCCAAGCTTTGTGATGTGATTGTCGTTGCGGTTGGGTATAGGTTGGCGCCGGAGAGTAGGTATCCGGCTGCGTTTGAGGATGGGTTGAAGGTGTTGAATTGGTTGGCCAATCAGGCGAATTTGGCCGAGTGTAGTAAATCTATGGGGGTTGGTGGAGGAAGCCATGGTGGAGCCTTGGTGGGGAGTTTAACAAGGATAATCATAGGCATATTGTTGATTCTTTTAGTGCATCAAGTGTTAATTCTGGTGGAGTGCGCGATCAACTATATAATTTACAAATGCTTGAGGCAGCACATTTTAAAGTTCCACTAGCTAAAGACTCAGAACTTCCTAGAACCTATACTCCTGTATGGATTTCGGTTTACTTATTAAATAATTTATTATATGGTTTCCCTTACCATTAATTTTAATTTCCATTTTGTTGTGGTTGTGTAGAGGCATCCAACAATTACACCTCCTAGCTATCCACAAGTTCAAGCGCCAATAGTTAACAACCCTGCCTTTTGGGAGAGATTAGGTCTTGAGGCATATGGCACTGACACCCTGTTCTTTGCATTTTATTATCAACAGGTACCTGAACATGCTATGTGATTAATATTATTATTGTTATTCAGTCAGGTGTAACTTATATTAATTTTTTTTGTAGAACACATACCAACAATATTTGGCTGCAAAGGAGCTAAAGAAGCAGTCTTGGAGATACCACCGAAAGTATAATACATGGTTTCAGCGGCATGAAGAGCCCAAAGTTGCTACAAATGATTTTGAGCAGGGAACATATGTGTACTTTGATTTTCATATTGCAAATGATGACTTGCAACATGGATGGTATGTTGAGTTAACTTTGTTATTTTTATTTTCAGCCTAATTTTAGCTGTGTATTTAATACGATACTTTGCTGATTTTATACTTTTTCCCTAGACTTTTCTTTAACTTGGTGTGATGATTCATTCAGGTGTCAAAGAATCAAGACGGAATTCACTTTTGAGTATAATTATCTTGAAGACGAGCTTCTTGTATAGACGACCCAACATGGTAACAATGCATCTTCTTGGTTGTATTTCTGTGTAAGTTTTAATGAATATTTTTCTACCAGATTGATAAGTTATTTTTATCTTCCAAGTGTTGTCGAATCAGATAAAATGAAATGCATAGGAGAAAATTTTCTTTAATTGAATACTAGTTAGAACCAGTTTTGGGAGAAAAGTTTGATAATACAAAATGTTGTTTTCTTAAATTCAGATGATTTTATAGTTTGTAAATTTTGTCATTTTATAGATCTTGGCTCTTCAGGTTAATTTTAAAACTGGTAGTAACTTATAATCCAGTAAATGAATGGATTTTTTTTCCATGTTGGTGTCAGACACAACAGTTTGGGGTGATATTTTTGCCACATAGGAAATGATATTTTCAGAACACATTATGCTTATTTGTATGTGAACTGGTTTGGTATCACATATTAGAAATGATTCATGCTAATTTATAAAAAAAGAAAGATGATTCAGGGTAAGGCATTTACAGCGTGTTTGATCCATTTATCTGATTCCACTCTGGACAAAAGGGTTTGGTTATCGGAAGTGACGATGCTTGTTGTAATTGAAGGATTGTATAGCTTGATTTTTATTGTTGAATCATATTTCTTCATTTGTTGTTTCTGTAAATCTGCCTATGATTATCCATGACTAGCCTTGGTGCTTCAGTGGCTTGATTTTTACTTTTTATTTTTCGACTTAATATGAATTTTTAAAAATTAACTCTATATTATTATATTTATGTATTATATGTATTTGATGACCCAACAGAATTAACACAAGATGATTTGTATGATTTGCGACTTTGTTGGGCAAAATGTTTCTTTGAGTTACATGAAAATTAAGTTTATCTTGGTGAGTTTTATAGAATTGTATAAGTTGTGGTTTTTGCACAATACATATGGTTTTTGCACATTTATTGAGTTTCTTGATTTTTTTGCTGATGTTAATTGTTATTATTTATTGTCAGGCAATGTGATTTTGGTGTTGTCTACCGAAGATTTTATATTGGTAATTTAAGTTTGGAAATTTATAAATAGTTGAATATTTTTTGTATATTTTGTGAATAATATGTAATTGTAAGTTTTGAAAAAAGACTTATAAATAGTTGAATATTGTTGTATATTTTGTGAAGAATTTGCAATTGTAAGTTTGTTTGTTGTAATACAATACAAGTTTGCAATACAATTGTTCAATTTGTAAGTTTGTTGTGAAAAATATGAAAACATCGACCTAGATGTGATATATGTGATGTTGGGAAAAATATGAAAAAATGGGTACAAATTATATTTGTACAGAGAAACATCCAGAAAATAAATAATCTATTCCAAAAAAATTTCATACATTTTACATCGGTTATTAGTAAAAACTGATGTAAAAACTTTCAAAAGGGACTTTTTACATCGGTTGGGGATAATAACCGATGTAAAAAGTCGCGTCACTGGGGACTTTTTATATCGGGTATTACTTCCAACCGATGTAAAAAACTGGATCAATTTTTTAAAAAAATGTGCATAATAACTGTTTCTTACATCGGTTCATATATTATAACCGATGTAAAAAAGGGACTTTTTACATCGGGTATTACTTCCAACCGATGTAAAAAACTGGATCAATTTTTTAAAAAATGTGCATAATAACAGGTTATTACATCGGTTCTGATATTATAACCGATGTAAAAAAGGGACTTTTTACATCGGTCCCAGAATCGATGTAAAAAGTCTCTGATTTACTATATCGCCTGACTTTACATCGGACCCAGAACCGATGTAAAAAGTCAATTTCACCCGATGTAAAAAGTCATTTCTGCACTAGTGTTTTCAGACTTTTCATTGCTAGCAGATTCAAAGATCTTAAGAGAGCTTACAAGTTCATCCACAATCATAGTTTTTACATCATGGGATTCTTCAATTGCAATCACCTTCATGTCAATCCTCTTTGGAAGAGATCTAAGCATCTTCCTGATCAGCTTATCCTCTGGTATCTTCTCTCACGGGTCTTCTGAGTCATTAGCAATGTCTAGAACAGTCATGTGAAAGTCCTAAATACTTCCATCCTCCTTCATCTCCAAGTTCTCAAATTTGGTGGAGAGAAGTTGAAGTTTTGCCAACTTTACCTTAGGATTTCCTTCATGAACCTTTCTTAAGGTCTCCCAAGCCACTTTCGCATGCTTACAATTCTTTATCAACTTGAACACTTTTTTGTCAACTCCATTGAATATGGCATTTAACGCTTTGGAGTTTCCTTGAGATGATGACTCATCATCATCATTCCAATCTTCGTCAAGCTACAACACATCAATAATCTTTCCATATGCACCCATAACCTTTGATGGATCCCATCCTTTGAAAACATTTTTCGAGACCTTGTTGCCCAGGGATTTTATGCATATTTCCATAAGAGGTTTCCAACTATCATAGTTGTTACCATCCAGAATAAGTATTTTAACCACAGTTCCACCATCCTTGTCCATTGCACCACAAAGTAACTTCCCTGAATCTCACTCAAATTCAGAGCAGGATTCCTGCTCTGATACCAATTGAAATTCTGGATGTCAGATTCTGAATGTCCTAAGAGATGTTGAGACACCGGATCTGAATATTGTATCAACATCATCATCAATTATAATCCTAAAATTCACATCATCTCATAGTCTTATGCGACACATCCTAAAATTTATTTATACTTTTAAAATGTCAAATACAATTATTCTACAAATTGAAGATCACGAATGAAATAAAATCTTATTCTGGACAAAATGGTATAATAAGTCAATCATTATTTCAACTATGTATATTCTCTTACATTAAGAATATTCTCTCAAATTTCAAAAATAAAAGAGATGTAGAAATTCAAACACAATAAATATTTTTTATTTTCCTGTAATTATAACAATAAAAATAACACTTGAAATAAATATTTTTAACCTTAAAGTAGTTCTTACATAATTTTCAAATATAAGTTACTTTAAGTTGATATTTAAAAATAATATAGTACGCAACAATCTTTTATGATGTCTTTATACTTTACTACTATATTTTTCTTATAATATCAAATAACAAACTAATGACAACCAACAAGATATATACCATACAAAAGAGATGTTAGAATACGAACACAATAAAATATTTTTTATTTTCTTAAAATTATAGCAACAAAATAACACTTGAAACACATGTTTTTAATTTTAAAGTAATTCATATATAATTTCAAAGATGAGTCATTACGAGTTGATCTTAAAATATAATACAGTATGCAATAATCTTTTACCATGTCTATATACTTTGCTATTATATTTTCATATAATACTAAATAATAAGCTAAAGAAAAACAACAATATTTATGATTTCTCGCCTATGAGGATATAGAATTTTTTCAAAGTAGTTTACTATTTTCTTTTATAATTGTGATCATAGAGAATTTAGTAAAAACAACCATGATAATGTCTAAAAAAGAATACTCATATTTCAATTGATATTAACGGACAAAATCAAATGATTTTTTTACAATCTCAATAATGAAAATTAGAATAATAAATTAAAAAAATAATTAAGTTAATATAGTGACTAACATTTTCAACCTTTTATTCATCAGATAATTAAAGTTCGACAAAATAGACATAAATTTTATAAAATTATTAAAAGTTTTATTTGATAATAATTATAAATAAATTTTTAATTTTATTTAACACTAAAATAAATACATATATTTAACAAACTACAATAAAATATCTAAATAAAAGATAAATGCAAAAATAACATGAGAATAAAAAAAAAACAATGCATAGATATTGAATTTTGCAAATTTAAATTACACATATTACTCTCAATTTGCAAACTTGCATTTATTTTTCAAATAAAATGTATATATATCTATATATATATATATATATATATATATATATATATATATATATATATATATATATATATATATATATATATATATATATATATATATATATATATATATATATATATATATATATATATATATATATATATATATATATATATATATATATATATATATATATATATATATATATATATATATATATATATATATATATATATATATAAAAGATATAAATAGTCATGAATATAACCAAGATCTTTTCCTAGTAACAATATATCAACTAAAATCAAAGATTAGTCATTTGGAAAGATAGTGATCAGAAGATGGAGCAGATCCATATCTATGCAAAAACTCTCTTGCCAATACTTGAAGATCACCACCATTATTGCTACTTGTTGATAAGCGACTACCCAAATATTGACGAGGCTCGTTAGGCCTTTGCTGCATGGCCCATGAAGAAGTTTGTGCCATAGGATCAAAGAGTGAAGATAAGTCATATGTGGGTGGAATGGATGAAGAAGAGACCGTTGGAAGTGATTGTGGTGGTGGTTGAGGGACATGATATGTGGCTAGGTGGCCTTGTAAGAAGGAGAGTTTTGCGTGTAAACTCATCACCGGTGGGACAGAGAAGAAAGATTATAGGTCATTTATATCAATATGAAAATTGGAAAGTGTTGGAAATAATTTATATTCAAAAGTTGTTGTTAGTGTCAGAAGTTTCTGATGTATTACTCAAAAGCAGTGTTGTTCAGAAGCAGTAGAGCTTCTGAGGTTGTTAGTCAGAAATTGTTATCAGTTAGAACCAGAAGTTTTTGTGGTTACTCCAAGAAGTATTTTTAACTTCTGGAGTTCTAGTTATTTTGTTTACTTAGCTATTAAGTTTAGTTTGCTTAGTTATTAAGTTTACCTTTTGTTAGGGTCTACGTGACAAATTTACTTTATATATAAATCGACTAGTGGTAGCTGTCATAAAAGTTTGATCATTCTTTCTTACAATTTTATAACTGTCATTGCAGAACTTTAATATTATTCTCTCATACGTTTTCTTCATTTATTAACCTTGTGCACCAACAGATTGGTATCTAGAGCTCCGGTTGGAATCCATGAAAACCACGAGTGAAACAGTGAGGCAT